CTCTGTCCACCAAATCTAGTTCCTTAAATCTGTTCTTCACTTCCACTGTGTATTCATAAGGGATTTGGTTTAGTCACTAGCTCAGTGGTTTTTATTACTTTCTTCAGTTTAAGCTTGAATTTTGTTATAAGAAGCTGATGATCAGAGCCACAATCAGCTCCAGGTCTTGTTTTTGCTGACTTGTTTTTGCTTCCCCATCTTTGGTTGCAGGGAATATAATCAATCTGATTTCGGTATTGCCTATCTGGTGATGTCCACGTGTAGAACTGCCTCTTGTGTTGTTGGAAAAGAGTGTTTGTGATGACCAGCTTGTTCTCTTGACAAAATTCTATTAACCTTTGCCTTGCTTCGTGTTGAACTCCAGGGCCAAACTTACCTGTTGTTCCTTTTATCTCTTGACTCTTTACTTTAGCATTCCAATCCCCTAGAATGAGAATAACATGTTTCTTTGGTGTCAGTTCTAGATGGTGTTGTAAGTCTTATTGGCAGCAATCCATGAAGGGGTCCCGTACATTAATAACACCCCAAAGGTCCTGTTATTAACGGTCCTCAGTTCTGGCAAACTAAAGATCATTACATTCTTGAAGGCTTTCACGGTTGGGATCTGATGTTTGTTGTCAGTTTTTCAGGCTGTTTGGCCATGTCCTGGAGGTTTTTCTTCCTAACGTTTCACCAGTCTCTGTGGCTGGTATCTTCAGAGGACAGAGACTGGTGAAACAGGAAGAAAAATCTCCAGAACATGGCCAAACAGCCGGAAAAACCTACAACAACCATACAGATCATTACTTCCTTTATTGAGACAATCCTTCTTGTGCTAGGTCTTCTTATTTTTCTACTAACTTCAACTTTTCCTAATATTATTGTCTTTTCCAGTGAGTCACATCTTCTATATCCAGAGTATGATTGCTTCAGTTTAAGCATTTGAGCTTCTAGCAACGGTTAAAACTTGAATTGATTTAGGACCTACTTCCTGCCTCTCCTTCCCATATGTGAACTATTCCTTCACAGTCTAGTCCAGGAGCTCGAATCAAATAGCCAGTTCTCTGATTCCCCCAAGCTCCTATAAACCCCTTTTGTCATTTTTTTTAATTAAAAAAGAGGGGGGGGTGTGGAATTGTGTGTTCAGAAAGCTCCATGGGATGTACACCTATAGAAGAAGAGACAAGGGATCCACCCCTTGGGCAAACTACCCACAATTTTTTGAAAATCCTGAGTGACTAAACCTGGCTATTTAGACAGGCCTTCCCTGAACAAACTATACTCTGATACAATAGTGTCCAGTGATATAACTTCTGTCATACTGCCATGCTCCATGTTTTTATTTTTCTACGCTTTAAATTATATTTACTGTATTATAATTTTATCCTCACTTCACTTTATATTTTTTTTATTTTCACCCCTATGTATTAATGTTGCTATTTGCTATTTTGTTACTCTATTGTTTTTTGTTATTTGTTGTAAACCGCCCAGAGTGACCTTGGCTGCCAGATGGGCAGTATATGAATGAATGAATGAATGAATGAATGAATGAATGAATGAATGAATGAATGAGACTACAGAAAATAATCTGTGGAGCCTCCATAATTGTCTATCCCTCCTGTAGTTTTAGAGGAAGTACAGTGGTGCCTCACAAGACAAATGCCTCGCAGGACAAAAAACTCGCAAGACAAATGGTTTTGGCCATGGGGTTGATGACTTGCAAGACAAATGTTCCTATAGCCATGCTTTGCAAGAAGAATGTTTTCTGTTTTTTGTTCAGAAAATAATCTGTGGAGCCTCCATAATTGTCTATCCCTCCTGTAGTTTTAGAGGAAGTACAGTGGTGCCTCACAAGACAAATGCCTCGCAGGACAAAAAACTCGCAAGACAAATGGTTTTGGCCATGGGGTTGATGACTTGCAAGACAAATGTTCCTATAGCCATGCTTTGCAAGAAGAATGTTTTCTGTTTTTTGTTCCTGCCTCATGTCTGCTGATTTTTTAAATGTTTTTCTATGATGTTTAAAAAGTTAAAGTTTTTTGATTGACATTTTTTAAATCATCTGCATAATGTATGGCTTTAAAGAGCACTTAATAAACCCTTTGTAAACCAAATTTGACTTTGTTCTGACTTCATTTGCCCATAGGAACACATTAATTATATTTCAATGTATTCCTATGGGAAAATGCGTTTTGCAAGACGAATTTTTTGCAAGACATCATTAACCGCGGAACGAATTAAATTCGTCTTGAGAGGCACCAGTGCACTACCTGGCTTCTGGCACACAAAGATGTTTTAAATCTCCTTATGCTGCCTTTTTGGTAGACAGAAACAGACTGAGCAAACTTATCTAGGCAGGGAGCATCTAAACTGCTTTGGTCCACATCTGTTTTGGCTGCAGCTAGCAAGGGTGGGGTATATATCTTCTAATCAAACTTCCAGCTCTGCCTTACTAAAAACGTGACATCAATTGCCCATTAACTACTGAATAATAGGGTATTCATTTCACCTTCACATAATGTACTTTGCCAGATGTCATACATTAAAAATCTTAGAATGGACCATATAGTAGTATTTTGATTTGATGAGAGGCTGATTCACAGTAATCTCAAAATAAGGAGTTCATTAATCTAATTCCTTTACAGTGAATCCCATAACATATGTGTTTCTTGTTTCATTTGCACAAGAGACATAACAGAGGCTGTGGGATATGATGAGAACCTCCTGTGGACAGTATGTAGTGGTTAGACCACCCAGCCATGAATAGTTTAAGGACTTATATGGCTAATTTTAGAGAATACAATCCATGCAATGGAGAAAGAAAACATCATTCAACCCATTCTGTGCCCCTGTTAGTCCACACAGATGATTAAGTTTGTTGTGTACTGTACACCACTAGCCATGATGGCCTATGGCTTCGACTGGAGCGGATGTCCTGAGAGAAAGGATGTTTTTCTTTTTTCTAGTAATGCATTTTGCACTTCTGGTTTTTCTACAATGCCAGAGTTGGCATACAGGAAGTTAACAATGCCATTCTGTATCTTCCTGGCACTGATTATTTTTTACCTGTTTTGGACATTGGTCTGTATGTACAATTGAGGAAATAAAAGAGCTTCCATCTGCTCATAAGCTGAAATCCGATTTCATTGTATAGTAAGTTGCAACTAGAGTGGACCTAGTGGGGATTTGGTGAGTCAGGGCCTTCATAAATTCCATTGATTCAAGTGGGTGCACTCTAGTGCAAATAACAGCATTAAGCCACAGGATTTCAGCCATTAAGTGTGCTTGTCCTGTTTCTGGATCATCAGGATATCCGTTCATTGAACATAATATGAAATGATTTGTAGTCCAAATCAGGGAGGGAATACCTCACCTCAGTATTGTGGAGCGACCCCTCCCCCCTTACGGTCCTTCTGGGTAAAGTCTAATATGTCTTCTATGAAGGAGTCTTGAAGCTGGGAGAGACCTGTCTGGTGGATACAAGTCATATTTTTGCATCATCAGTGACATCGATACATGTAGATACATGTCTGAGCTGGACCTGTGAGTAAAAAATTCCAGTAAAAATAAACATAAGAACCAAAGATACATAACCTAATTTATTTTTCTTGCTAACCTGTCCCCTCTCTGACCCTCCAAATCTTTTCTCTTGTGATTGCAGCTTAAGAAGCTCTTGTTGGCTCCAGCTAACACCCAGCTAAATTACAATGAATGCAGTGGCCTCAGCACACACAATCATGCAAATGCCAGTCACAGGATCAGAACAAGCCCTGTGGTGGTTAAGGTATGGTGTTCATCATTGCTCTGTGTAGAAAAATAATTAAAGAGGGGTTTTTTTTTAAATACAAATTTCAGTGGCAAAGTATGGCCCAGTTAAACACCCAGCCAGCAATAAGTAGTAGCCTGTGTCCAAATATTCCCCCACTCATTTCAAGTCAAATGATATGACAGTCTGTGTGGAGGCTCATTTGCCCCGGAGTCCAGTTGTTGTGACCATCCACAACCCCTTTTGTATATATGCAAAGATGGACTTTTGTGCATGACCCTTTGTGGAGGGAGAGGGATAAAGATTCAGTAGGAGGGAGTGGAGAAGATCTTTCAGACAAATAGAGAAGTTGCTTACATTCCTTTTAATATTCTGAATAATACATGTTTGCCGCCATCACCCCAGGAAGAATTAAGTGGCATTTTATAACACCAGTACTACTTTTCCTGTGTACAGAATAATAGATATTCCCACTGAAACATTACTGATGCCATGCTGTTCCACCTGCCACTTCACTAGCAGCCCAACTTAGAAAAAAGATAATGCTAGAACCTTAGCCGAAAGGTCTGTGTCAGCCATTAATTGGCTCAGATGCTAGCAGTGGTGTAATTCTGCAAGCAGGCTGCATTAAACAATGTTTGTATTGCCATTGACTGTAACCAAAAACAGAGCATTTAGGGGTACTTAAGAGAGTTGTGAGCGCTGGGCCTGAGCAATCAGCAGCATATTAAGGTGTAAAAGAGCTTATCCCCCACCCCTACCCGCTTTCAGTTAAGGTGCTTGTTAGTTATATGTTACTAAATGGGAACATTGAAATGTAAAGAAAATGAAATAAAAAGTTGCACAAAAGTCATTTAGGAATTTTAACTGTCATTTTCTTTCCTTGTTCTGCAAACAGTTATTCACAGTCCATAGAGCTAGTACACTTAGACCAAACACTTCACTGAAAATCTCATCTCTTCAGAAAAGCTCTATCTATTCTGATAAGGTTCAGTTCACTCATTTTAGCTTGCTTTCTTTTTTCTCCCCCACCCCACCTCCCCTATTATTATGACTTACTTTTTAAGACTGAGAATTCATGGAGCAATAAGGCAAAAAGCATTTGTCAACCACAAAAGCCACAAAGACGTCCCTGTTCAGAACTTCTCAAATATCTGACTACAAGCAATGACTCTCCTCAGACCAAACCAACAGAGAACAGAAACAGTAGCAGAGACAAATGCACTACTAAAAAGAAAACACTTTTGCACTCTCAGACACATCATTTGCAAGGTAAGTTTGTGACTGAAGAATCTAATTTTGGAGAGCTGTTGTCTTGGTAATATACAGTGAGGTCCAGTTTCTATTAATATGGGGAGGTGGTGAAGAAAAGGTGCAGAAGCGATCATATTTATTTGTTATGTTTATATCCCCCATTTCCTACAGTGACTTCAGTATGGTGTCTATGGCTCTGTTACAGGAAGACACGCATGAGATAGTTCAGGCAGAGGGAAAGTGACTGAGAGCCTGATCACACAAGGGAGATGCTGCCCGCTTCTAACGATACTTTCCACATGTCTGTTGTACTAAATCATGGTCATGTGGTATATATACCAAGATGAGCGTTCCCATTTGTTTTAACATTGCCGATTCATTGCTTCCTATTTGAAACACAATGGCAAGCTACACCGTGGAACCAACTTATTTTCTGTCTTGTCTCCTGGGGCAGTGCAGCCCCCCCCCTTTTTAAAGTAAAAAAATAAAAAGCTCTTAACCCATGCTTCCTCCCTTCACTGGCAAAGACTGGGTGCACTCACCACCATCCCTGTGCTGAGCCCCATGGGATTGGGCATCCTTCTTCACAGCAGGGCCTTAGTCCTGACTGCTCTCCCTTTTCTTTTCCCTGGTGTGATTAATGGTTACACATGAAGTACCAGTAAGGAATGTTCATTCAGAACAAAACAAACAAACAAAAAACCACAACCCTCCCAGTGAGAGGGAAATGTTCTGCAGTTATACCATTGGCTGGGAAAATATTGTGATAATGGCCATGCATCATGTGACTGGAAATCTATACAGCTATCTAACTGGGGTATAACTAGGAAACATTTGCCTCATGTGCTTATGCCTTGATTCAAGGTCACTAATGAATTTCAGTGGGGACTTGAGCCTGATTCTCACAAATCCTGGTCCACCTTCAAAGACTGGTGCCTTTAAGATAATGTCCTGTGGCTGGCTTCATCTCAGTGCTCTTTTCAGAGGTACTTCCCAGCTCGTCTTCCTGATATTCTTTTAAATGCCAGGATGGCAGTGTTGAACCTAGGGTCTTCTGCAAGAAAAAGCATACACTACTTTTTTGGAGACAACTTGTCTCACATTGAGAAATTTCTGTAGATGTTATCTGTTATATACTGAGTTATGTAAGACAGTGTGAAGAGATAACATCTACCTCATGGCGCAGTGGTTAAACTGCTGTACTGCAGCTAAAACTGTGCTCACGACCTGGGGTTCAATCCCAGGTAGCCGGCTCAAGGTTGACTCACCCTTCTGTCCTTCCGAGGTCAGTAAAATGAGTACCCAGCTCACCAGGAGGGCAATGTGTAGCCTGCATAATTAACTTGTAAAACACCCAGAGAGTGCTTGAAGCACTATGGGGCGATATATAAGCAGCATGCTTTGCTTTTGCATAGTAGTACGATAGGATTTTGGCAATTCATTAAGGTCCACATCTTAAACTTATGTTCCCAAAGTGACTGATAAAGTAATGAAAAGCAAAATGAAAATGACATTTTAAAAAGAAAACAACAGAATCAACAAATTAATGCAACAACCAAAAACAATAACCAAAAAATCTAAGTTGAATTAACTACACTACCAAAATGTGTTTGCTTAATACCAAAGGGCAGCACCAGATGGGGCTCCAGGAGGAGGGCTTACTGTAGGTTTTGTATTAATTTCATTTATTTCTGTTATTATACAGTGGGGACCATTGAAATGTGTTCATTCACAAGCAAGTTATTTCTATTGCCAGATCTCTGTATTTTGTTAGTTTTTGCAATTCTTTATCTTCCACTCTGCCATCCCCTGGAATTGCAGTGCCAATTATCCAACCAGCTAATCTTATTTCTGGTGTTTTATGCTCAAAGTGTTGCCGTTTGAATCTGGTAGTCCCACAAGATCTTAACTTGGTCATTTTCTCATACCTTCTCTACCTGATGTTCTCAAAGATGCTATTATTATTATTATTATTATTGTTGTTGTTGTTGTTGTTAAACACTAGGCACAATTAATTAAAAATTTAAAAACGTGGTATGTATGCTTTTCATAGCACTGCCTTTTTTAAAAGCTCTGATGGTGTTATTTCTGAGATCTGCAACTGCTTACAGTCCTGTGTAAAATTTCTTGATACTGTTCCCAAATCCCTTATGACTACGGGGACCACTGAAGTGCATTTCATCCACAACCTAGATGTTTCGATGGCCAGGTCTCTGTACAGTGGTGCCTTGAGTTACAAACTTAATCCATTCCAGAAGATGGTTGTAACTCAAATTGGTCGTAACTCAAATAACCATTTCCCATAGGAATACATTGGAACATGATTAATCCGTTCTGGCTGAACCCCCAAAAAACACACACACACACTAAAACACACTAAAAAACACACTGCTAGGCCCATCTGTGACGTTCACCTCTATGAAGCACCTACTTTTTGTGGCCTCACAAAGGTTCCAGTCTTTGTTCCGTCACTACCACCAGTGGATTACCTCTGTCCACAATATAAAAGACATTTGTCCAAACACTTGTCTGGTAAATGCAAAGATAACTTATTTATTGAAGTGTAGCAAAGTTAATAATAATCACAGATGTTCTTCAGTTGTTCATTGTACACAATCAAATCATTCACAGGTCTCTCTATAATACTTTCTTGCCATATAATAAATTACCACCTTCTCTATCTATTTATCTTAACCAGTCTCTAACTTAATCCCTATCTCTTCTGCCTCTGCCTCTGACTCACTCACTCTTGACTGACTCTTGACTGACTCTTCTGACTGACTCCTCATCTCAGGCCCTTAACATGCTCTATGAGATGTAAACACTCTCTATATGCCAGGTCTTTATCAGTCATAGACATCTCTGGGTGTTCAGGGGTCAGTGGAATGGGATTCTCCCTAGCTTTTGTAATATAATCATTCAAACTACTATCTTCCATCTGTTCCTCAATACAGGAAGCATCATTAGGTATAACCTCATCAGCCATTTTGGTTACCTCATGGTTCTTTTCTAACTTGGGGCATCCCTGGATAGATTCAGAGGTTAGGGAATCCATTTTTCCCTCAGGGATTGTTACTTCAAAAGCACTCTGCACATGCTTAGTGAGATCTAGCCCGATTAAACAAGGTGCAGGAATTTGATCAGAAATTGCCACGTCCCAATTTCTGATCCAGTCTCTATAGTTTATTTTCACTTTAGCCATGGGTAAAATCACTGGAGTAGAACTTACTCCCTTGATGGTAACAGTCTGGTTCGGGAGAATTTGTTATTTAGGAATCACCTCAGGATGACACAGGGTTATGTTAGAACAAGTATCAACCACTCCTACATAAAACTTTTCATCAATAAGAATCCTCTCACCAGGGTTATGAACTAGAATATCTTCTGCCTTTGCTAGAAAACCATAAATGACCTGGCCTAGTGGCAGATCAGAATTTTCTGTTGTACCAGTTGCCATGGAGACAGAACTACCATTGTTACAGCTTCCCTCAGTGGCTTCAACTGGTTTTAAACAGTACACCTTTTTGGTCTGTCCATCCTTCCCATTTTGACTCTTATTTTTGTTCTTCATACAATTGAATTGTAAGTGACTGAACTCCCCGCAGTTATAGCACTGTATTCTTCACTCACTCTGAGGAGATCTGTTCAACTTTAACTTTTCCTCAGGGTTCATTTGAGTCTGAGAACTAGGCTGTGCTAATGTAGGTGAAGTACTACCCTGGCCTTCTTTTCCTGTTGTTTTGCTGGGGAAATTTTTATCAAACAGTTTCTTATTATTGTCACAGTTCTGCTTGTTAAATTTTATCTCAGAGAACTTGTACTCTTGAATCTCCCTAATGTAATCTGCTGTTTCACCTGCTTCTAATAGATTTTTAGGATTTTTATGCTTAACTAAATAACACAATTCCCCAGGCAAAATAGAATAAATTTGTTCCAACCCAATCACATTTTTCATCTGCTCAAGAGAAGTGACATTTTCACGTTCCATCCATTTCTCTAAACATTGCAGCAGTTTAGCCCCTAGCTGCGAATATGATTCCTTAGGCCTTTTGATCAGGGAATGAAATTTTCTACACAGGTGTTCTGCACTGATACCAAATCTAGAAAATACCATTTTTCTCTATGCTTCAAAATCTCTAGCCTGTTCCAAGGGCATCTGAGAATACAACTCAGCTAAATCTCCACTTATTTGGGATCTCAAAACCATCATCCTTAACATTAAAGTCCCAGCATGCCCTCTCAAATGAAATCAGGAAAGATTCAGGGCAGTCTCCTTTCCTGTATTGGGGAAATTTATTTAGATCGATCTTTGAGAGATTTCCCTCATTCATGCTGTTATTATTGTTATTTTGAGAGGCTAATTCTAATCTTTACATTTCAATTTGAAATTCCATTTGTTTTAACTCCATTAGTCTGTTTTCTTGCTCAGCTTTCCCCCTAATCACTAGTTGTCCTTTTTCCTTACTCAAATGCCATTTCTCTCTCTCTCCTTAATCTCCAATTCATTGAGCTGTAGTTCCTGAGCTTTTTCCGCAGCCCTGGCCTTTTCTCTAATTTCTAATTCCTTTGCTCTTAGCTTGAATTCCTGTTCCAATTTCTATTTTTCAAAACCTTGGGAGCTTAGATCACCTTTTCTCCCTGAGGCACCCTCATGAGTCTCCCCCTGTTCCACAGCTAGAGGGTCTCCATTTCCCTCCACTTCCTGAGGTAAACTTTGTGCCTCTTGAGGATCAATTACCTCCACTACTGGCTTTTTAATTCTTTGGGGTGGCATAAGTATGTACTTCATTGATAAGATCTGGTTTATTTTGCAGATAGTCAGGCTTCCTTTACTGCTGTTTTCTTTTCCCCAATATTTTTCCGGTGCACTATGTAGCTCTTGCTTTGCACCTAAAGATGGCTGCATTTTTTCTGGCACCACGCCAGCCATGATGTTTTGTGGTCTGAGACAACCTTCTTGTCTCCAGACACAAAACAATTCTGTTTTCAAGCCTCTGCTTTTTATGTTCCTTTCACCT